CTTTCTCTCTGCTAGTACTGTGGCTAAGAGGACAGGCTCTGTGCTTCAACTGCCCGGCTGTGAACCCCAGTTCCAACACTCACTCGCTGTCGGACCCAGGGTAAGGTATTTGCCTCATCTGTAAAATGGGAACAATAATACTATCTATTTTATAGGGTGGTGTGAAGATAATAAGTTAGGTATGTAAAAATTAGCACTCAAAAGGTTAGCCATCTTGATGTTGATAATAATGATATTTGAGGGTTGAGCTTGACTTCATTATAAGGTGCTGGGAATTTTACATTTTGCTAGTTCCACTTCCAACCTTTGGAAGTCCTAGACTCATGTTCTTGGAGCAAGCAGTAATTCTAACCTGCCTACACCTTGGCACAATGGCTGACACAAATAGTTCCAGGTTTCCTAAATTCCCCACTCCCCTCCCTCCTTCCCTCCCCCCTAGCAGGCTGGAAGAGGCTGGTGCCCCACTGGATACACAGCTGTCAAATCTCCTCTTTACTGGGCCAGTGGAGTGGTGTGGCCCACTTTTGAGGGACACAGAAAGCAGCTCTGTTATCCCGAGGAAGGAGCAGAGATAGAGTAGATTGCTAGTACTTTCTGGGGACACAAGGAAGACAATTAGTTGGGATAGCTCATTCATAATCACTTTACATTGGTTACATTTTGAAGTGATAACATTTTGGATATTTGGGGTTAAATAATACTGATGAATTTTTACCATTTCTCTTTACTTTTTGTTATTTGGCTAATAGAACATTACAAATTCCATATGTGGCACAAGTGTATTTCTATTGGACTGCATGTGTTCTGTTAGAGGAACAGGAGAACTTCTGAACGCAATCACAGGTCTTTGCCTTGTCCCGGTTAGGATGCGTGGAAATGATTCCTGCCTCGTATGGGAGATTGGTGTAGGCCATTTCTGACCACAATTTTCGTGTGGGCCAAGTAGACAAAAAGGACATGAGCAGAAGGTGCCCCCCAGGGCCCACGGCAAGCATTCTGAAATAACAGAATGTATGCACCAAACAGTAGCTGTGATTTTTAAATCATCAGATAAGCTCTCCATGAAATAACTTAAATCAGGATACTGCAGCATTTCATAAGGTTTCAAGTGCTATGTAAATGAAAGATTCTAACAAGCACCAATAATCTATTGACAAAGTAAATTAGTGAGCGGTCAATGTAAATTTCCTTATTCAAAGATGGCTTGAGGGGCACCTGGGTGGCTCAATCAGTTGAGCACCAACTCTTGACTTGGGCTTGGCTCACTCAGGTCATGATCTCAGGTCGTGGGATCAGGTTCCATGCTGAGCATGGCTCCTGCTTGAGATTCTCTCCCATTCCTCTCCCTCTGCTCCTCCCCCAGTTTCTCTCTTTCTCTCAAAAATAAAATAAAATTAGAAGAAGAAAAAAGATGACTTGATACTTCCCATTTAAGGTACAGTTCAAATACCTGTTTGGGGCCTAGTGAGTTACCTACACTTCATCTGCATAACTTGTCATGTTAGCCCCAAGGTGAGAATCAGTGTCTGACTTTCTGATTATGTTCACTCTAGGCTTTTTCCCTGTTCTTTGGGAATCTTTGCCATGCATACATGCAGAAGCAAACATGGATAATATTTGCTGATAGTATCAATGCCACTATCATAAAGTGCCCTCATAATCCTCATCTGGTGTCCCCAACCCTTAAACAGGCGATCTAAATAAAAACACAGCTTCAAAGTGAATCTCCTACTCCCCACTCCTTCTAACCAGACTTCTAGTCTCTAATCCCCTTGCATCTGGCAACTCTGGAGCAGTCTCTGGCTTAATAGTAAATAAAGGGGGAAAATAAATTTTCATATGAATATGTGTATGTATACACAGAGGGCTTGAAAATCAACATACAGCAATAACCGAGATCTCATGATAAAAGGCAAATTTATTTGAAAACGGGAACCTGTTGAAAATCACTGCCTTTATCTTTTATATTGTATGTATGCAGTGGATTAGTCATGATCAGAGGAGAGACTTTTTCCTCCTGCTGTCTTCCTCTAAAGGGCTTAGGGAATAACAATCCTTTTCACAAGCCTGTGGTCCCTTCTGAGCCCATTGCCAAGGTATTTAATTGGCTGGGGAAGGGGTATTTTTATATATATGCACTCAAAGATCACAGAGGAAACTCCAAGAACTGACCTCCCAATTTGCACCAGGCCAAGACCAACACTACCCATATCAGAAAGGGTTTATGGCCTCTGAGTTGTATTCTAAGTTGCTTAGTGGAACTAGACATTCTTTCTCTCAAAGACACATGTTCTGCATATTAGTCCTGACCCCCCCCCCCAAAAAAAAGGTGATTTAATTCCTATTATGCCACCAAACATTTCTACTAGTAAAACAAAAGAAACGCATAGAAGCCATGTCAGTTTCTATATCACAGCCTTTCTGTTGCACAAACTCCCTGGTTCAGGGTGGAATGGAAGATGTGGCCTCTCGTGGTCCTACTTCATTTCAGAAGAGGGCACCTTTGTGTAACTTATTGATTCAGACCAGCTTCTGCCCCAACAGAGAATGGGGTAGAAGTGTGAGGACAATGGGGACCAGAGAAAAGAGAACATAGCTATGAATCCAAGTTAATTTAGGGGGCAAGGTGTCCTTTTCCACCCTGGAGGATGAGTATATGCAAGTAATCAAAAGCAGTGATGGAGGCGGGAAGTAAGATAAAGTCACTTCTCTAGCTTCTACAGGTCAGACCTGCTATTGGTAGGCACTATCCATCTCTTCTTTTCTCCAAGACGGTGCCAGGAGGGAGTTATGGCCAACTGCTTACATCCTTCAGGGTCAACCTTGTTCTTTTTTTTA